CCTGCCCCCCCTCATTCCCCCCCCCCCACCCAGAGAGCCCCAATTTCCCCCCTTTTCCCCCCAAAAGCGGGGTCACTGCTCCGCTCTTTATTGGGGGTGGCAGCGCCCCAGAACCGACAGGAGGTGGAGGGGGGGAGGGGCAGCGCCCCCAGACCCCCCCCCTGAGGGGTGGGGGTGTCCCCGGGGGGGGCCCCAGGGGGGTCCCCGGGGTTTGGGGGGGTCACCGGATGGCGATGAGCCCCACGTCCATCAGCTTCTGGATCTTCTGGGCGATCAGGGGGTTCTTGAGGTGCCTGGGGAGGGGGGACGGGGCGGGGGTCAGCGTGGGGACACCGGGCTGGGGACACCCAGTGACACCTCGGGGACACCGTGGGGACACGGCCCCTCCCACCACGGGGGGGGCTCTGGGTGGGCTCAGGGTCACCGTGTCACACCCTGGGACACTTTGGGGACACCCTGGGGGACACCCTGGGGGGTTCTGGATGGCCTCGTGGGGACACAGTGCCACCCCCTTGGGACACTTTGGGGACAGTTGGAAACCGCTGTGACCCCTGGGGTCACCTCAGGGACAGCTGGGGACACCCTGGGGGGCTCTGGGTGGGCTCAGGGTCACCCTGCCACATTTTGGGACACTTTGGGGACACCCTGGGGGGTTCTGGGTGGGCTCAGGGTCACCCTGTCACACCTTGGGACACTTTGAGGATAGTTGGGGACCTCTGTGACCCGTGGGGTCACCTCAGGGACAGCTGGGGACACCCTGGGGGGCTCTGGGTGGGCTCAGGGTCACCCTGCCACATTTTGGGACACTTTGGGGACAGTTGGGGACACCCTGGGAGGCTCTGGGTGGGCTCAGGGTCACCCTGCCACATTTTGGGACACTTTGGGGACAACTGGGGACCCTCAGGGGCAGTTGGGGACACTCTGGGGGGCTCTGGGTGGGCTTGTGGTGACACAGTGTCACACCCTGGAACACTTTGGGGACAACTGGGGACCCTCAGGGGCAGTTGGGGACACTCTGGGGGGTTCTGGGTGGGCTCAGGGTCACCCTGTCACACCTTGGGACACTTTGAGGACAGTTGGGAGACCTCTGTGACCCCTGGGGTCACCTCAGGGACAGCTGGGGACACCCTGGGGGGCTCTGGGTGAGCTCTGGGTGACCCTGTCACACCTCGGGACACTTTGGGACACTCTGGGGACAGCTGGGGACACCCTGGTTGGGCTCAGTGTCACCCTGTCACACCCTGGGACACTTTGGGACACTCTGGGGACAGCTGGGGACACCCTGGGTGGGCTCAGGGTGACCCTGTCACACCTTGGGTGGCTCTGGCTGGGCTGGTGGTGACAGTGCCACCCCCTTGGGACACTTTGGGGCACTCACTCGCTCAGGGCCTGGGGGTCCTTCTGCATCTGCTCGAGGATGAGGCGCATGGCGGGGTCCCCCATGATCTGCTGCACCTCGGGGTCGGCCAGGGCGCGGCGCCGCAGCTCCTCGGGGGGCTCCGAGCGCTGCTGCTGCCCCCGCAGGCAGCGCCGCTGCCCCTCCGCGGCCTCCTGGGGGTCAGGGGGGGTCGGGG